TTCTTGAGTGCAGTCAACTAAACAACGAAATGACTCACGAATTGTTGCCTTAATGACCAAAACAGCGATTCTGGTATTTGGACTCCCATTTCTGTGCAGTTAGCCCTCACGTTGTCTGGAGACCGTCCTGTGATAATTGACACTCCCATACGTAAACTCGCACTGAGGGAATAGTAATTCTCTGATGAAATCCACAGAAAAAGTATCACGACTGAACGCGATGGAGTAACAATCAAGGATGCTAATTTAACTATCACGTTCGCTCGAAAACCTTCTGTTAACCTGTTACAGCCGGTATTCTCATTATTGCGATCACATACCAGTTCGAGTTTGCACTAGAGACTATCACATAAACTAGCGAAAACATAGTGAATGAGCGCATAATCTGCAAAAAGGACTCCGGGCTTTTTTATATTACCATTCCCCACTACCAGTTCATTGTAAGTACCTAAACCAATTGATGAAGTGAGTATACCGCAAGATCGTCTTCATAATATTCACGAGCAATCGGCGCATTTCCTACAAGTGATCTGAGTTATATAAAGGTTTAAATATGCATGCTTGAAGTCGGCAGTGATGACAACTCAGTAAGACCCGCTTGGCGGGAAACTGTACAACCTCATACAAATCAAATACATTCGTATGCCTCCCAACTTCATAACACATTGCTAAGAGTTTTCGACGCAAACTAATTGACGTTTCACCACATACTCTAACAGTGCCAAATTTGGGAAAATTCTGCAAACGAGGAAGTGAAATTGGCAATGTATGAAGATGAGGTACTACAACGGTTAATACAGTTGCTTTTTAAGAAAATCTCTAGTTTTTTTTCAAGTGTTTTTCCTACGAAATTCGTAGACAATCTATCACTATTCAGTTATGAAGTATTTGAAATAATTTTCGGAAAGATTCCATGTCAACCTTTTCCGTTTTGCAATCTTCGCCTAGGATCCCGAAATTCCTGCTGGTGAAAACCCTCCCAGGATTCCATCCTCTTATGTTTGAGTTGCGATAGAAAGCATGAAGAGAGGGACTGCTCCAGGACCTGATAATGTCACTGCTGATTTCCTTACTGCTTTTGGCCACAAATTACATGTACTTTTCGCAACCCACATGAGATCTTATTATCAGGAAGAAAAAACCCTGGACCCAGTGAAGGACCTCGCTCACGGACATCCTACCGAAGAAGGGTGACTAAAGAGGTCTCCGTAATTAACGTCCAATATTCTTCTTGAGTGTACTCTACAAGCTGTTCACGAAGAATATACTTTTGCGTGTATTGAAAACGTTGGAGGAGGCGTATTTAGGAGAACAAGCGACATTGCAACAGAGATTCCGCTGCGTGGACCACATCCAATCCTGTGATCGGTCATAGAACTCTGTCGGAAGTACCATCAGTCCCTTGTCCTAACCTTCGTCGATTAGGAGAAAGCTTTTAACAGTGTCGAAACGAATGCAATTCTATAAGCGCTCGTTGAACAGGGAGCGGAAACGTCCTACATACGGACACGGGGAGACTGTTATCGGAACTGCACAACAAATTTACAGCTTTTTATCGGCCTCTCACCATACCCATAGGAAAAAAGTTCGACAAGTCGACGCAATGTCAAGAGAATAGAACAAAGCGCTTGAACAACATCCTCTAGTTCAACCGACTCTCACAACGCCTTGCTGCCCGTTTTTACAGGTTGTGTAGGCCCCAGCATAATTACCATTTTTCGGTGATTTGCTGGTTAAGCCATTGTGGTTCTCTGGAATCCAGAGGACAGCCTGGCCAAAGTCTGTCCCGGGTCGTCAATACGACAGGCAGTCGCAGCCACTGTGGATCAGAAGGAGATTTGCCACCATGCGACTCTGATACCGGGACGGTAGTGGATCCTAGTATTGGTTTACTCTTAGCTATTCTTCTTGATAGAAACGCTGGACGTCATCTCAGCTTTGGAGACCCTGCCGGGGAGACGAATCTCCCGTTGTACATCGCAGTCCGACACCCAGAAACACCTCCTAGCCACGATGAGGCGGTAAACAGTTGAGAGGATTCCTGAATACATTCGCATAAACGAGAGCACACCAACGCACGCATTCGTCAATACTTTTTTTTTGTAAATGCAGAAACCATGTGGTAAATCCACGCATCAGAAACAGAAAGTCCGTCCTTTGGATCTATCCTCGTCTCAGGGAGGCAAAGGTCGCTTTTGGTCCCCGATTTACTCCTCTCCCTCAGTTGGGAGCGTACCACGTTGCCTTGCGACTACCCGGCATGAGATCCTTCTATGAGGGAGGTTCGTGTTTGTATCGTTATGGGTGAGAATGTGTCTTTTGCAAAGCTCTGTGTTAGAGATAGTTCCAGGAATATTCAAAAAATACTGCGTGAAAGAAAAATAGCCATATGGTTGACTTGAACAAAAGCAGATATTTTATGGCGCGTAAAATACCGAGCGAGTGAATTTGAATGTTCTAGCTATGAACATCTGGTGCTGAAGTCAGCACAGCGAGTGACTCCAGTCCTAAAAAGTAAGTAGCAACAAACTTGAAGGACATGAAAGACCACGGAAGATGTAGTGAGGAATAAGTAATCATGCTAGGACTGTGTCTTTTCTTTGATTTCATAGTTGTTCTTTACGCATTTTTTTCTGTAAGGAACCCCTTAGAAATTTTCAAGCGATGCACATAAGATGAAAGTCGCATTTAACGCATTATCCGGAGGGCTTCAGGGCTTTGTGGACGAATAAGTGATCTTCCCAATCTATATCGCAGTGCATATCTAGCCACGACGCTGCACACAGTTCTTTGTATTTCGAGATTATCAAATCCATATCAAGATGGCTTATCAGGCTGTTCGGCGCATTTCTTTGTTAGGATCCTTAGTGAGAGTTATGATGCTTACTGTGACCTACCAGCAGGCAAAGGTCATTAAGTTACTAGGACACCGAATAGGAATGGGCTAAAACGATTTCGAAGTTTTTCTGTCATTTGATAGTCTACGAAGAGATAAAGGATACAGTTGCCACTTCCTGGAAATTAGGCAAGCCCTCATCGCTGTGAATTCGATCGAGCAGTCAGAAAGTACTATGCAAAAGTGAATCCCATCCACGATATAGGACGTCTTTATGTCATTATAGTGATGAAAATATTCGTCATAACTAATGGTCTTAGAGAAGCTTTTAAACACTGTCATTCTGTTGTATATGGAGTTGCACAAGCAGAGTGCTTCATACACGTAAATACAAAAAAACTCCACTGATCTTTTTATTTATAATAGAAATTCTGGTCTTCTGGATTAGGTTGAACAGTGCGGGTGAGGATAGGAGTTTGTTGGATGTCTTCATCTGCTATATGATCATTTTTCCTTCGTAGAATTTTCACACCACACAGAATGAGATCGTGTTGAGGTCTTCGAACATAGAATCGTGACTCACGCAGTGTCTTGTTTGCAATTCGGAACTTGTACTCGCCCAGAGCCACCATACAACAACTGAAATCCCAGTAATTATCTTGTTTCACAAATGTATTACATTATCCTTCTATATTACATATTTATTGTAATACATCCTTAGTAATTATGCATCTCAGCGAAATGACAGCATACGTAGAAGTAAAGGGCTATCCTCTCAGTGTAGGATATTTTACATCTACCATCTACATAATCTATCTAAAATTAAAAAATTAAAATCGTAAGCAATTTGTGTCTTTCTAGCTCTTGATAGAAATTCTAATTTATTAAATATATTTGTTCAGCAATAAGTCTTCAGAGGATATGTAAATACAAAGCGCAGGCCAATGGAACTCATTCTCTGGCAGAGGTTTCGATCTACGTGCAAAACAGTAAACTAAAGATGGGACACGGAACTAAAGAAACCGCTGAGTTTTTGACAACTACAAATAGTTTTTTAATAAATAAAATAACTTTGCAGCTAAACGAACGCATAAAACTCAAAAACCTGCTTTAGTTCAGTCTCGATAAGACTAATCAACGTATACTCTTTCGTTGGTAAGGTGACACGAGGTTGATATGAAAAAAAAAACTGTATTCGGCAAACGTTTCGGCGCCGTTCCCTTCACCTGAGCCGGCCTGATCCGATTCGATTGCCCACAGTTCTTCCTTCTTCCGACATGGATCTTCGTGATCGCACAGACTCGAACCCAGTAGAGTACCGCTTGAATGAAGTCCTCAAATCAAACTGAGAACAACGAGTTTTTATCAACGGACTCTCACTATCAACAGCAACCATCCTCTATGCAGAGTATGGCCATGTGAGGTTTCTTCATTCGAGCGTTTCTGCACTAGATTCGACTCTGTGATCACGAATACCCACATCGGAACAGGGAAAAGCTGTAGACAATCGACTCGGATCAATCTGGCTCTGAGCAAGACGAAGGCGCCTAAACAGGTGCGATCACCAATCGCCCGTCAACGGGAATGATCTCGGGAGCACAAATTGGCATCCCAGTTAAACTATGGCTATATGAATGTGTCGTTTTCCTGTTCAGCAATCGCGAGGTTTTTAAACAGCATACATTTACTTCAATAGAGAAACACAATACAATACAACACTAGCTGACGTTTCGGCAGTATCGCCTTCTTCAGAGCCGCTTTTTACGCGACTTTCAATGAGGAAATTTAGAACAGCTGACTAGGATGTGGGATGGTGCAGTCGTCAACCACATGCGACTATAATCAACTAAACTTCTTCATTGGAAGTCACGAAAAAAGCGGCTCTGAAGAAGGCGATACTGCCGAAACGTCAGCCAGTGTTGTATTGCATTGTGTTTTTCTATGGAAGTAAATGTATGCTGTTCAAAAACCTCGCGATTGCTGAACAAGAAAACGACACATTCATATTCCAATGCTGAGGTTAACAGAAAGCCGATCCTGGGAACTATGGTTATAGTTGAAATCACAATTTTAACCCTTTATTTACCGCCAACTAATTCTTCACGGCAGGATATTGCGTGAAATGCAACCACAATGATGCTAACATATTTATTTATGTGTTCTTATGAACTGATCCTGTTGAACCGATGCGAACCCGCCCCCCAAGGGACTCCCTCTCGTAAGACACGTCTTGAGGAAAGTGAAATCGCTGAAACGTCAGCCATTGAGCAACACAACAACGACGACAACGACAACTTATACCAACCTCGCATCAGCTGAACACAACAACAAAATTAAGATAATGTTTCTTCTCAGATCAATCTAGCTGACGGGTGATTTTTGATGACAGCGTTAGGTGGAGAACTAGCTGAGAGAAACGCAGATCAAGGGTCTCTGTGGCACAGTGTGTGATGCGCGTGACCGCGGAAAGGGAAATCGTGGTTCGATGTGGTCCGGTGTTCAAGTTCTGCGAATATTTCAGCATCGTTGGGGTTGCAATTAAGACAATTCGCAACGAGTTTGGATGTGTTTAAAACATCTGTAACTAAAATACGGAAATATGATAGAATATAATAATGTTAAATATAACATGAAAATAGAATGAACATAGTCGGCTTCTACATCGTCCTTCAGCGGTCAGTTACCTTCTCATTCCTACTTTCGTTTCTGATTTCGGTTTTAACATCTCTCTGAATCAACTAGTAGGAAGGATTAACGAAGAATTCCTCACCGAAAAGACACCTCCTTCAGATCCACATCGTGAGGACCTGGATACGCCATTGCAAGGTTAAATCACGACTCCAGGGACGACCAAGTTGCACGACCAGCAATAGGTCAGCCTCAGTACCCCGCACACTGGGTGCTCCCGTCTATGACGTCAGGCGGTGAGACGACCGGTGAGAGGCCAGAAAATCTCGGGTTACGCAGAACGTCATTGCAACAGGATCTGACGAACACACGCACGACACCGACACGTCATGGAGATTGTTTCATACTATGCACGTATAGTGCCAGAACACTTTCCACAGACGCCCATCTTCACGCCCTTCTTGTAACCGCAGATCGCATTAAATTTCACGTGATCGCATTACAAGAAACAAAAATCAAGAAAACCGATATACGCCAACTAAACAAAGGGACCTTTGTGATCCGTGGAGAAAAGGTCCCCTCACGAAATGTCGGTAGCGTAGGCTTTGTCGTCCACCCGTCCATTGCCCATCTCGTCGACTCATGCGAGATCCTTTCCCCTCGTAAGTGCTAGCCGCAAAAGAGCTTTGCAGGGAGATCTACAGCGGTACAAGCAGAAGAAACTACTGGAAGGAGCAGAGAAAGGAAGCAGTCCGAAAAAAAGCCGTCGGGACCTGTCTGGTTATAATGTTCCGCTGTCAGCCCTCATGAACGAAGATGGGATCGTCAAAACTTTCCGCGGTGATATGGAATTAATAGCGGAAGCGTTCTACACCAACCTTTTCTGTTCCACAATCCCTGTCCCGGACTCTAATATTCCCGCTGGAGAAAAACCACCTGGAATTCTTCCGTTGGAGGTTCGAGTTGCGATAGGAATTACGAAAAGAGGGAGAGCTCCAGGACCCGATAACATTACCGCCAGCTTCCTTAGAGCTGGAAGCCACAATTTAAATGTACTTCTCGAAAATCATATGACAGTCTACCTTCGAAAGGAAAAAATTCCAGACCAGTGAAGGAGGTCGTGAAAGGTCATCCTGCTCAAGAAAGGAGACCGAAGGGATCTTCGTAACTATCGTCCCATATGTTTGTTGAGTGTACTCTACAAGCTCTTCATGAAAATTATCCTTTCGCGAATATCAAGGACATTGGATGAGGCGCAACCAGTCGAGCAAGCAGGATTTCGAAAAGGATTTTGTTGTATGGACCACATCCAAACCGTGTCCAGAGTCATCGAAGTTTGTCAGGAATACCACTTGCCTCTTGTCTCAAGCTTTATCCACTGTAAAAGGGGTGTGATAGTGTCGAAACGAATGTAATCATATCAGCGCTCGTCGACTAAGGAGTGGACCCGTCCCATATAAGAATCCGACTGTTATCAGAACTGCATTTTGAAAATAGAGCTCATCCATAGACCTCTTAACATACTCACAGAAAAAGGGGTTCGACAGGGCGACACAATATCGCCAAGTCTGTTCATTACCGCACTGCAGTGGATAATGAAATCACTCGACTGGGATGAGAAAGGCATACGTATTGATGGAAAATTCCTATCAAACCTTCGTTTTACCGACGACATCGTCGTCTTCTCAAAAAGTACTAGTGAAGCAGAGGTGATGATCAACGAGCTGAACGAAGCGGGTAAAAAGATCGGACTTTGCATAAATCGAAAGAGGACCCAGTTTATGAAAAACCCATGGTGGGAAGGCGAAGAAATTGAATTGGATGGCACGCTGATTGCATTAACCACCTCGTGCGTACACCTTGGACTATCAATAAACATGGAAAACAGCATGTGGGAGGAACTAGACAGAAGAAAGAAAGCAGCTTGGGCCGCATTCGAGCCTTTCAAAGAAGCCACCGACCAACTGAAGGACCCGAAAATCCGCGCTCATCTCTTTGATTCTACGGTCCTCCTAGAGCTCTGTTATGCTGGAGAGACGTGGGCTGATACTTCAACCACGTCAACAGTGCTCCGCATTACTCACAGAGCGCCCGGGCGGTGTCTTCTGAAACATAGCCGGCACTCTCAAAATCTAGCCGGTATGCGAAACTCTGATCTTCGAAATCATTTACATCTTCGAAATCCAAGCGAATATACATCGATAGCGAAATATAAACGGGCCGGTTACATAATTAGAAGAGCCGACGACAGATGCACGAAAAAAACAGTATAGTGGACTCCAAGAGAATTCAAACGTCCCCTCGGACGACCACCTACGCGTTGGGCGGACGTGTTCGTAAACAAAGTTATTCAGCTGTACACGCAGCTGCAGTAGTTTTACATATCACGGTATGAGACTCGCAAGCGCTACCATGCTCGAACAAGACCACCACCATGGACTACGAATGCGAGAGAAAGGAACGAATGGCATATGTGTTGGGTTCCGCACAGCTCGTGAAGACGGACAACCAAGTATCCAAGTAAGTATCCAAAATTGACATAAAATTGGGTTGGGAAATGTGTTAATTCTATTGTTTAGCAAGCAACTCATAAGGTTATCATTTCTTCGTTGAAAATGAAAAATAATTTTATTGGCATTTGAAATTAAGATATGAATCGCTACAGGAATGATGAACACTGTGAATTTATTTTAACCATTTCATTTCTCTGAAGAATCAGATTTTATACTTACCTGAACATCAAAGCGAATAGAAGAATAAGAAGTATTCCACTAATTATTATATATTGTGGCTGCCAGAGATCACAATTGCAGGTTAGTTTAATGAGATAGCGGAACGATAAAACAATACAGAATGATGCCAATAGAAAGAATGTCAATATTCCCAGTCCAAGAAGAAGGAATGATACGACGTACAAAATGGATTTTCCAAGGATGCCTAGAATTCAATTCATTGATGTTTGATAGATTCTCCACAGTTAAAAGGATAATTCGAGTAGAATTTCGTAAAGACTCGGCTCATACAAACACCATAACAAGTGGTCAGTGGTGGAGGTGCGGCTGTGCAAAGTTTGGATATTGATTATTTGGGGCTAATACAGAGCTTGCATCTTCTGGTGCATTGTGTTGTATAGTAACTATTACTTTACAAGAATGCAAAGTAAAGCAGATTTTTTATCGTTAATCTAGAGGTGAAGATTAACCCAGGGTTTTACAGTTTTCATAGATTTTTTACACAGATAAAGATTTGTCTCCAGTTAATCAGTAACCGGAAAGGCCTCTTCACTTTTTTCGTTGTCTTTAAAGATATGTTTTACGAATCGTTTCTTAAAAAACAATGCCAAGCAAATTTTCTCATTCCAGTTGTCATGAATGACCATTTGAAAAAGAATTGAACAATGCTACTTTTGTAGATAGTAAGTTTCAAGTTCCACCCAACGGTTTACCGCCTTATCGTGGCTCGGAGGTGTTCCTGGGTGTCGGGCTGCGATGTACAGCGGGGGATTCATCCCTGGCAGGGTCTCCCGAGCTTGGAAGGAGTTGGGCGTTTCCATCAGGAAGCTTGGCTAGGAGTAAACCGATACCAGGATCCACCACCGTCCTGATATCAAAGTCGCATGTTGTTGAATCTCCCTGTGATCCACAAGGGCTGTGACTGCCTGTTGTAGTGACGACCTGGGGCAGACATTGGCTAGACTGTCCAAGGGACTCCAGGGAACCATAATGGCTTAATCTGTGAATCACCGAAAATTAGAGATTATGCTGGGGCCCGCACAACCATTGAGGACGGGCCATTCAAGCATTCAAGTAAGTTTCAGGTATTCTTCTCTATAGGTTCAGTTTTCAGAAAGCTGGATGGAATTTGCCACAGCAAGCTTGTTGGAACAGTCTATAAATGCAAAAATACAAGAACGCAGTGAAATTTCTTAAGAAAAAGTAGCTTTTTGCTTGGAAAACTGCTAGCACAACAGAATTGATTTGAATCAATAGATATAAAATGTCAAGAAAGAGAGAGAGAGAGAGCAAGGAGTATACCTGCAAAGTATAGTGCCCGAGAGAGAAAGAATATACTTGTCAGCGAGAGTTTTTCCAGACCACCTCTCTTTGACTTTACTCGTTCAGTCTTTCGTTTTTTCCTCATGACACCATTCTCTAAAGTTTCTAGTGGAGCATATGTCTCCAGCACATTTTTTGTTGAATTCGTCACGTTCTCCCTGTTACTGAACGTTTCCACTTCTGATCTTTCCGCATCAAAGAAAACAGCGCCGCTCTGAAAGACGGATAGAAATTTTGCAGTTGTTGCAAGTGATGAGTTGATTATCTGTTTATTACTATAGCGCCCATATAGCGCAGTGGTTAGAAGTACGCAGCGCTTCGCGATAAGTCGGTCTTTTGTTGTTCAGTCCCCCACCTCTCGCTCAATAAGGCTTCGCGGTTTGACATAAGTCAAACTGCTCACTTGATGAATGTTCAAAGCAAATGGCAAGCTTCACGATATTTCGCGGATACTTTTTTTTTCATCCAGAACCAGTGACCTCCTTCATTACCTATTCTTTTCTTGTTCTAATTGGTTTCACGTTTTAAATTTACGAGTTAAGATGGTGTTTGACTCCATCACGGACTACTTTTGACCGTTAAGCTAACGTAGAATGATTGCTACTGCATATCGGATAAAGGACAAGAACTTAGATGTCAGTTTACAGGATTTGCAGGTCGTTTCTGTTGCGTTTGCTGAGAAAAAGCCAGAAAACAGATCTGACACAACATCATACTGACTACCACATTTGAAGCAGTGCTCTGCTCAGTTGTGATACTTGTAATGTACTTTTGGATTAGAGAACGATCAATCATCAACATTTTTTCACATAATCAGCACTTATATGATAAACATTAACAGCATGCTGCATCATTTAACACAGAAAATAAATAAATCGAATATTCTTACGATCATGCTTGGATTGTATTCTGGAAATCGGTTTATCCTAGCGTTCACAAGAGTTTGTACTATATCGCATAGTTCACTGGTGTTAGGTCGAATTTTAGGATCACGTTCAAAAATTACATCCACCAATTTATGAACAAACGATGAGCAGGTGGGCACGAGGACATCTGCGGAGTATGGTAACCACTGCAATTAAAATCACGTCACATTGTGTTTTTCAATAATCGTACGGTATTTGCCTCTTAAAAATGCACAGATTATGAATAACATAGGTTCTAATAAGACTTTTCTTTAAAAAATACTTTTGTTTTTGTTTTGCAAAAAGCTTATATAAATATCCGACCACTGCCTAATTAAGGCAATTTTTTATTCCATATGACCGGTCTTCGCGTCTACCGTGAGGATCTCAGCACTTCTCACATTCTATTCGTTTCCTCGCATCCATTGTCCACGAGGATCTTCCGCTTTCATGCGTAACTTCGATTTCTGCTTCAGGATTTTCATTTCATCTTGAATGTCGTAGATTGCTGGTCGAGCAATTCTCCATCGGCTCTTGAGATAGCTGGACTGGAGCGTTCCCAATTGGATTGCAGAGAGTGATTTCTTTACCAGGCAAGTCCGGTGCCAATTTTTCGCCCTGGTGGGATGAGGGACTTGGTTGGCCTGGAGCGGAATCGAACTAGCACCATGCTCGTGATGACGGACGTCACTACTATTGTGCTAATGGCCTCCTCTTGTTAAGGTAAACATGAAATAATTACACATAGTTTGTCAGCTACATAAAAGCCCTTAGATTTTCCAAATAGCACTGTTTCAATTATAAATGCTACTGAATAAACTAATGGAAAACTATAATACGAAAACAATGGTAATGACTTACATTTTTTGGATCACCTGAGGCTCTATCGAGAATTTCTTTCTGAATACCTTCAATTTGTCCGAAATATTCAAAATGTGGTGGATATTTTGTTAACATTTCGATTAATGTGCATCCTAATGCCCTGTAAAACGGCCTTAACACAACAAAGAGTTTGTACAGTCCAGAAAAGTACTTGTTTCGATGAACTACGCCACCAAATTAAGCCTTTTCGGCTATATTCTAACACGTACCACAGCTGTGTATAGGAAAACATCTTAATTATAGAAAAAATCCTATAACGCTTAAGGGATAAAAACGATGAGGGATAAAACTCCCCTCGTTAATCAATACCTGAGGGATACACCATGCAGTCGGCTTTATTAAGCATCGTTTGGAGGTGATTGAACGCATATCTGGCCTTTATAATGACTTGCGGTGGCCTACCAATGTATCGAGCCAGTGCTGCTTTCCTCCCACACAAGTCCGGTACCAATTTGCTGAACTCGGAGGGATGGAAGGCTTGGTGGGCCATGGGCTCAGGAATCGACTCCACGTTTGTGTTGCAGGGCGTCTCCGACCACTGCTTCACACGCGCCCCTGCTTAAGGGATACTTCAACTAAAATTTGAGGAACATAAAATTTCAACCGTTCTTATACATTTGCTCAATCCAAATCTGCTTTACTGCGTCATCGCGACTAAAATTCTTGGGTCCCACGTTCACAGAGGGTTTATATACTCGCAAAGTTATGTAGACCCAAAATGAGTTCGCATTTCTATGTGGAAACCCAGTCAAGAGAAGAATTACTTCAGAAATGAAGGAATATGATATACACACACTATAGAGAACCTTCTTCATGAATATTGGAATGCTCTCTATGTAAAACAATTATAACCTTATGCCTTCTACAACACCTGTCTATTTGTAATCGTTATACATCTATTCTTGCACATTCGGTAAATCATCTCTTAGCAACCATTTCATGCAATTGCCTCGCAGGTGGCTGGAAAGGGAATCAGCAGCAGTCAGCTGAATGTACATTTCAGCATCTGTCGTTCCAAAAAAGTCTCCGAACACCTGCACCCTTCTACATGCAACCCCTCTCCGGACGCCGTCTTTAGTGCTCTCTGGCAAAGCTTCACCCACTACAGATGTAATACAGGCAGCCCATAGGACTGGTCCGGAAGTGTTAGCCGCGTTCGATCGGTCTGCTTCCGGTCCCTCAATTCCTCGGTGCTCCAACCCTAGTGTCCGCGTTAATACCTTCAAGAGTATCATTTGTTACCATTTCAATCCCACTCTTATCCACCCAGCTTACAGATTGCCAAATATCACACATTATCGTATCATCGTTGCAGTAATCATACAGTCGTACTGTTATGCTAATCTCTTCACTCATAAGCAGCCCGAATATCAGTGATCAGGCTGCGTCTATTCATTACCCGTATCATTGTTGCATTATTTGTAGAGTTGTATAGTTATGATTGTTGTATAATTATGATAAACGGTTTAATTACCCAAGTTTGAGGTGTCTGGCATTGTGACTGCTAATCACAAGAAATCCAGCGTGCACACACACACACACACACACACACACACACACACACACACACACACACACACACACACACGCGCACACAGGCGAAGCATGATGGTTAACGGTATCTGTAGAGCAATTTAAGTCAATTAAAAGTTGTAACAAACGACAGTACTGTGTTGTTTAATGTTTACAAACCAAACGTCGGCTGGCTTTCCGTATGCTTTGCGATTTCCAGGTCCTAGTTCGCTTATTAAAATTTCTGGTGCAACATACAGAAGTGTGCCTAAAGTTAATGTTTTTGAGTATTTCTTCAATTCAGTAATAAACCCTATCTTTCTAAAATGAAATGCACCATAATTATACGTATTATTATCCTATATTTTCGATTTTTCCTTCACCGCCTCAATTTTGCTAATGTACTGCATCTTTGGATATTCTATCCAAACAAAAGTTTTAATCCCTGGATCAAACAAGGTCATCGGTGACTGCTAACGATCAACATTGGAGACACGGACCTCAAGATGAAGACAAAAGATCTTTTCTCGATGAGCAAGATTGCGGACAACTCGTTGTTATCTACGGCTACTATCTAAATACGCCAAATAAGCAAATCCAAGCACAATTTCGGGCTACCAAATATAAAAACACTTGTCGCAATATTTAGGGAATGATAAGGCTCCAAAACACTTCCCCGTGCCAACTTTGCATCAAGATAAAGCCGTCATAATATCTTGGCCAAATTATTATAGAGAGCGAATATTTAAAACAACGGAGTGTGAACTGGCAAAAACCAACTTGCTAAACGATAGCTACGATGTCGGCACGTGACGATCCAGAAGCTGAGCAAGGCGGAGTACGAAACTCTATCACAAGCACCTTACTCGTCAAACTGATTATCTATATGTTACCACTTCATCAATCATCTGTGGTAAATTCCTTCGATAAAAAACGCTCATCAATGAAGAACCGGTCAAAAGGGTTTTCCATGACTCTATCGGGCTCAAAGATAGAAGTTTTTGTAAGAGTGGAATGCCGAAACTTATATGATAACACATGGACAGCTGTAGCGACTGTGGCGGTTCGTACGTTGGTTGATGAAGTGAAATTTAGAAAAAAGCTATGGCATAGTAAATGTTTCGTTAGAAACAAATTTTTCACTGGTACGAATTTACGATTAGTGACAACTAGAATTCTATATTTTGATTCAAATTATCAACAATCTTCTACGTAAAATACCTCTGAAATCGAGCGAAATGTCGGAAGCAACGGCAATACCGAAACCATCAATAGCTAGATCTCTCACTAGGCCAAAATTCGCTAATTTTATACTGTCGCTAATTGTCAGCAAAAGGTTTGCGGCTGGAAAAAGAAGATTAAATACAATCTTACATGGAAACTTAAAAAAAGGTTTTGAATTAATGTATACCATTATTTACTGCCCACGTTTTTTCATGGCATGGTATTATTTGAAGTACAAACATAACGATGATGAGTGCAAAATATATATGCAATATATGCAAATTCGAGACCCCAGGCCAGATTCGAACTGGCGATTACCCTTTCCGAAGGATCATGTGTTATCCACTTCAGCATCGAGCCTCATGCTTTGTCTTTCTCTAAGCCTGTTTTTTACCCCAATTACACCGTCAGCAATAACCCGTCAACGGGAATGATCTAGTTAGGATAAATCTGTACAGGATCCGGTTAAGCGTAGGCTGAGGTTGAAACCACAACGTATAACTTTATTTACCCTCTATTACTTTTTTAATAGCAGGGCAATGTGTGAAATATAATCACAATGATGCTGAGATATTTTCAAAAGCCAGGCTCCTTAAATGCTACTCACTGCACACGTGAGCTCCAAGAAAAGGGAGTAACCGGTTCGAATCTGACATGGAGTCCAAGTTTTGCAAATGTCTTGGCATCACTGTATTTTTGAAGGAGTTTCCAATTTTTATCTTGCCTAACTTTGGCGAAATCAGTAAAATAAACTATGGCCATATGGTGTTATTGGACATTACTTTACCAGCTCATAAACAGCGGATTTTGGAGCAGTGGAGAAAACATTGTACCTTTAATATCTCTGTGAATAACTGGCGGTTCAAGTGTGTGAAGATAATTCAACGCTTTGAGAGCCTGAAATACTTCTCTGAGGCCCTTCTATGCTAGTTGTTTCATAGGAAGGAGGCAACAAGAGTAAGATTACTCTCTTAATGTCACCAATCATAATCACTTGAGAAATATTTTTTTTGTTTTCACCGTGATCAAGTCATGATGTCTGAGAAACGTCTTCAAGTGGAGTTCGCAGTAAATGATGCCTAATTTTAGACCAGCTGCAAAGGACGCAAAACTCGTCCACCAGTCAAATAATGCTAATTTTTTCAGAAAATACCATTAGGCGCTTATGAAACTTGTGGAGTTGATAACTTAGAGCACTTGTAGTAGAAGCTTTGTTCTATTGCTTTAAATGTACTACACTACTACCTGCTTTGTTACTATGGTCGCGTACAAAAAAAGTTTTATATGAAAGTCGTTAATTGCTTAAAACAGGCAGGTTCTACGAAAAAAATTATAGATCTATTACGATATGTCAGCGCTTTAGGGGCACCTGTGGCGCAGTGGTTGGAGGCGCTCTGCAGCACACACGTGGAATCGATCTTTGCGCCCATGGCCCACCAAGCCTTCCATCCATGCGGGGTCAGCAAATTGGTACAGGAGTTCTCTGGGAGGATAGCAGCACTGGCTCGATACATTGGTAGCCCACCGCGAGGCCAGATAGGCCAGACATGCATTCAATGACGTCCAAACGATACGTAATGAAGTTGAATGCTTGGTGCATCCAACAAGGATTGATCAACGCCTAGAGCTTTAGAACTTTTAGGCTTTATATCAACGTTTTACATAAGGATCGATGACTGTATGTGGAAAGAAGAGCTGTTGATTATCCGGAGAGCACACGATGTCAATTCAGATTTGAAAAGCAACAATGAATTGGAATCGAAACAGTGTAAAAATTGAGGGCATTGTATAGACTTTTGATGAAATGCCGCCAAAGATCTTTTTTCTTCCTGGAGCTTAGCAGCTCTTAAAATCAGCAAAATAGTTTTTATCCCTTCAAAAACATTTCTTAAACATCCTTCCTAGATTCATCAACTGTCAACTTTAATAAAGCAAGAAATAGAAAATGAAAATGTATGCGCAGAATTAAACGTCTTGTAGAGACATCAAAATATTGAAATAACAAGTAAGTTTTGTCACAGCTCAAGGCTTTTAAAATTCTTCGATCCAGAACTCACCAAAAATTGGCTATCATTAATCAAACCTTATATATCGTAGAGCAAGTGAATGGAAACAAAAAGAGAAGAAAACAAGAGAACAATCAATAACTGTCATGAATCGATTTCTATTTCCAAAACTTACGTCAATAAAGTAGTGTACAGCGGTTTTTTCATTCATATTATTATTTAAAATTCTATCCTTTACAGAACCATTAGGCAAATACTCCGTGAAAATTAATAACTGAGACCTGAAAGCAGACTCTTTTACGTTTCACAATGTCGAACAATCATCCGATCAATTTTTACATTGCCATCATTTTTCGTTCAATTGAGCAATTTTTTTCCTTTAGAAAATTGGTCTCTTACGGCATCGGCATACATAAGACTTCTAGGTCAATAGTTTAGCATTTGTTCAGTCTTCACTAATTCGAAAATTGTATGCGTTTCACGAAAAGGTTTCACTGCTTCCCTCCTCGAAGCACTTCTAACAATCTAAATGACACTTATGAGTGTCATAATGGCTAGCAGGAGCGGCCGGTAAGACAGCTACAGGTGCCTTTTTTTTCTAGTGGTTTATTTAAACAAATAGAACTGTCTTCCTGCAGCCACAATGATGCTGAGATATTTGCAAAACTACGGACCGCAGGCAACTGCGGTGGGAAACGAAAGTGCTATTACCCTTTCCGGGACCTAGCGCGTTCACCACCACACCACGCGGATCCTTCGTTTCGCCTCTCTCTCAGATGGTTCTACTGATCAGTGCCATCAGCAATCACCCGTCAACGGGATTGATCCGGGTAAATGTCTTCCCATATTTCTTATAATCAAACGATAGCTTAACCTGTAGCCAACGTAAATACTATGGCGGGAACCGTCCATGGGCGGATATCGGCTGAATAATTTTTTCGCTAATTTTCCACTTCGCAGTGAGAGACTATTGCTGCTGAGGAGAGTCTGCCGCTAGAGCGTGCAGCCGGTGAAGAGGCCCCTGCTTCGAAGAACCTGCACCGCATGCAGTGAGCAGCATCATTTTTAAGAAGCAGTTCGTTGCTATCTAATTTTAATCAGCTATGATCACTTTTGGATATTGTTTGGAATAAAAGGATATCAAAACTAGAAGGGAAACATCGTAATATTACTTGCAGAACTTATACAACTTAACTAAATTCTAATACATAGACAGCGCGTGTGGTGCAGTGGTCGGAGGCTCTCTGCAACACACACGTGGAGTCAGTCTCTGCGCCCATGGCCCAACAAGCCTTCCATGCTTCCGGAGTATCCAAACTGTTACTAGATTTGTCTGGGAGGATAGCAACACTGGCTCGATACATCGGCCGGCCATCGCGAGTCATTGTAAAGGCCAGATATGCATTAAATCACCTCCAAACGATGCTTAATGAAGGCGAATTCATGGCGCATCCCTCAGAGATTGATCCACGCTGAGAGCAATATCTTTTATTATTAACAGCTATACAGTTGCCTAGCCGACGGGTGTCTTTCTTCATGCACAAGAGATGTACGTGCCCAAAAAACATGAGAGGGTGTGTAAGAAGAGCATGGATAATATACAGGATAAGAGAACGATTTATAGAAGAAAAATCACAATAAAAAAGGTGGAGCTGCATGAAAATTGCCGGAGTGACCAGCATAAGATTCATAGGTGCCATAGTGAACACAGCAAAGAAATATGCGCCGTCCACTACGCAAAAGTGCGAAATTATGCGTCATCGCATGAGTGTTAAAGCTCATACCATAAAAGAGTAATCGACTTCTTGGTGCTGCAGCTAATGACGTGATAACAACTTGTAATCAAAGGTGACGATGGACAATCTTTGAAAGCAAATATGTAAATAATGATGTCATCGCAACGGTGTTAAAATTGATATCAATGCGTTCAGCAACTGATATATCAGTGAAAGATATGCTTACGATGAAAACAAAGCTCACGGCTTGTTAAATTTCTGCGGAATGCGCTGTATATTCGTCTTCATCAATGACCGTTGTAGATGATTGAATTGCACACGTGGCCTCTACAATGACTCGCTGCGGCCTGCCGATGTAGCCAGTGATGCTATGCTCCAAAACAGGTACAGTACCAATTTACCAATGCGTAGGGATGGAAGGCTAGGCGAGCTCAGAGCGCGGGTTCGAACCCCATGTGTATAGCAGGACACCTACAAACACTGCACCATTCGCGCTACTTGTTTAAAATATGTTTGAAAAAATGGAAAGGCAAAAATATTTTTGGCATTCTTCGATTCATATATAATTTCTCTTGTTGCAAATTCACAAACATCTTAGAATTTCCCAAATACCTTTTGTGGTCTATTCTATTTTTTTTCTATTGGTGACCCTCTTCCCAACGGTTTACCGTCTCATCGTGGCTAGGAGGTGTTCCTGGGTGTCGAGCTGCTGTTCACAGCGAGGGGATTCATCCCATCTCGCAGGGTCTCCCGAGCTAGGAAGGAGTGCTGCGTTTCCTACAGGAAGTCCAGCTAAGGGTGAACCAATAAGTGGATCCACTACCGTCCTAATATAAGAGTAGTCGCTTGGTGACAAATCTTCCACTGATCCACAGAGGCGGCGACTGCCTGTGGTGGTGGCGACCTGGAGCTGACTTTAGCCTGGCTGACCTGGGGACTCCACGAAGTGAAGAATATGCTGGGGCCCGCACAACCAGTGACGACTGGGCGTGTAGGTATCGGAGTACACGAGTATTAGTGTTCCTAATGATAGGCGAGACACATTAAGCAAAAGTATTTGAAACAGAGAACGTGAATCTTTGCTAGATTTCCTAATTCTGATCTCTTGAATGCTGTTCTGAATAGTAAACACAGTAAAATTAATAGCATTATTTCAAAAAAGCAACGCAGTGGTAGTGATGATCTTCATCATGAATGCAGCACTGGTTCGATTTCGCTCCAAGTTCACTGTCATGTGTCCGTAGTTAGAAAATTGCTGCTAGATTTCACCCTCTGCTTGGTTCACCCTCTACAATCCAGATAGGTACCACACTTCATTGGAAATCCACTTCAGCAGCGTTCAACGACATTCAGAAAAGAGAAGAAATTATTAAGCAGTAGCCTAACTCAAACCCGATAATTTTGAAGATAAACGTGCACGTTGTTTGTAAGTAAGCGAATCAAATGCGAGAATGCTGGGGCTCGCAGAGCACATAGGAAAGACAAGTCATGCAAAAAAAGATATTAGAAAATGTTTCTGGAAAACACAAATTGCACTTGCTTTCACCTGGCAAAGTTATCACTACCTTGGTTACATTAATGGTTAAGAAGAAAGCTTAGATAATCGAATTACAGAGACTAAAAGGGCTCCTTTAGCGCAGTAGTCGAAAGCATCCTGCAATAAACATGGGATTATACCCGTGCTCCAGACCCACTAAGCTCTCCACCACCCGGGGTCTGCAAATCTGCGACCAGACTTGTCTGGGAGGAAAGCAGCACTGACTCGATATATCAGTAGGGCGCCGCGAGTCATTTGAAAGGCCAGATATGCATTCAGTCACCTCCAGCGATGTTTAATGAAGTCGTATTTATGGCGCATCCCTCAGGGAATGATCAGCGCCATGAGTCATTCGATTCTGTCGGACTACGGCGAAATCTGTTGGTTACAAAGAAAGAAACAAAACCATAAATTTTATAGGATCTTTTTCAAATGCATAAACTCGACATGTTGTTGCAGATCAGGAAATATGTTGGGTTATTACACTGTGTTCGATTTATTAACCATCGAAGCGTTTTTTAAACCTACACTTATTGCACATGAATTATATTATACCATTCCAATTGAGGTCGAGCTTCGATAAGAATTCGAAATGATTTTACGTCGTTTGAAAGCTTAGCAAGCAAATTCGCCTACTATGCCATGATCTTGGAAGACGTACTCAACCACGGTTTGTCCTGATTCGATTTCTCAGACTTGCATTAAGTGTCGTTGAAGGTGATGAATGATGAATGCGTATTTGGCTTTTACAATGACTCGCGATGGCCTGTCGATGTATCGAGCCAGTGTAGCTATCCTCCCGGGCAAATCTGGTACCAGTTTGCTGACACCGGAAGGATGGAAGGTTTGGTGGGTCAGAGGCGCGGGAATCGATCCTATGTGTATGTTGCGAGGCGCCTCCAACCACTGCGCCACACGCGCCCTTCAGATTTACATTAGCACAAAAAGTACGTTCACTCACTCATCAGCATACAACCCATGGAAATTAGCGATTTTACTATTCGCCAGACTAATTCGATGTAAATGTCGAAATTCATCAATGAACACGTCCAGTCTCTGTAATAACAAAACAGTAAGAAAATTATCAATAATGAAAACAATAAACGACAATGAAATATTTCTGATAGTATCGTAAATTTGAAACACCTGTGAAATTCGATAGCCAGATTGACTCCAGTGATCGAACATTTCCAATTTAACACGTTTCACTGTCATATGCACTATTTTTGACGTGTTCAAAAATTTCACCACCTATAAATTGTGACGTTTCCTCCTTTCCACCAATTACTACCATTTATTCAAACTACAAAGCGATTTTCCCCTATGCAAAAATCTAGAAATTTCTACTTTTCGAAACACTGACCTTTACCGAAGCTAAATAAGCTCAAATGAGCTGAGATAGTGGTTTATTCTTAAATACTTGTTAGAGTTTTATACGTGTGAAGAATTTTATGTCTAAATATTTACCTCACCAAATCTTCCTTTGCCAAGGCTTTGAATTTCCTTGTAGTCTTCCAATGATCTAATTCGTATCGGATCATCGTCCGGAATTCTTTCGCATATCCAGCGCAGTAGCTGGTTACTCAAGTGCTCCTTAAACAATACAACGATTTGTTCACAGCCTTTTTTTTTAATCTCTTAAAAATTGAATAGAAGTGAATTTGGAACAAATTTTGTCTTTAGTTTAGTGAAGAGCTCTTGGAAACAAAAGCTCTCATCATCAAAAACAAAAAAGGAAGCAATGCTATTTTTAGAGTTCTCTTTATTACAGTAGGAAGTAGTCGGTCGCATTAGATATTAAAGGAATCTCTACCAGTCAAAGCAAAGTTATTATTGACATTTTCGCTGTATGTTAATCGTGGGAGTAATAGAAATTTAAAAAATTTTAGTGATATCTATTCCACCTAGTAAAGAAGTAGATGAGGAAAAATAATGAAGAACAGGAAGCTGGCAAAAAGAATGAATAGAATGTAAGAAAAAAATATAATAGAAACAACCACGTCAACCTTTGTCACATCATTTCTGTGGTAACATGTGTTCATTCCCTTATGATAACGACACGATATATCAGTGTATCAGAGCAAAAATCTGCTCAATAGTCTACCCACAAGTGAAGACGAATACCGATGAATGTCGAACAACTTTGATTACTATGGTAGAATTCTGAAGAAGAATGTTGATTGAGAATTATACACGGTCGGATTGTCAGAATTCTAGAAGAATGTTGAACGTTTCACAGTACCGGACGTCGCTGACACCAGCGTCGTCAATCGACACCGTCGATTGAACGTGGGCTGAGTGATGGTGGTTCGAAACATCGATTATCTCTTATCACTTTACGCTATTCTGAAATATCAGTCATCGGCGTCGGTCGTCTCACTCACAAAACTCGAACAACATCTTATTCATTCGTTCGACTTTCCACCGTCTGGTGAAATGTGTACTCTCAAAGCACTCGTCTCAGTATCATATTCTTCAAAAAAATCATACATTCGAGAAAAAACTACCACTGAGAGGTGATTTTATAATATTGTTTTGTCCGCTTTTTAAAATTCTATTATTATCAACAAGTGAAGACATACAACGTTTTCGATCGAAGGAAATTTATGAATTACAGAAGGAAGAAGAGAAATAGTCATAAATAGAGTGTATAATAAGTCATTAAGTGGAATCGAGTACCGATAGAACATGTGGACATGACAGCTTTTGATCGTTAACCGTAATTTACAGGCGTAAAAATATGTAATATTCAGCAACACGAATAGAGCACGAATAATATGCTCATTGATTGAATCCGAAAAGTTCGTCGCATATTCTTTAAAACTTTAACTTCTATATGACGATTAATTTTTTCCCTCAAACGATTTTTTCCTCACAGGTTTGCTAGTATTTTATAAGTAATCTGACATGGATTTTCTCACTAAATTTTAAGCTTTCTTCCTTTCGGACCTTGCCGATTGGTACCAAATTCGTCTGAGACTGAATCTATGGAGTTTTTATTGGTTAAATGTTGTAATATCTTCTTTAGACTACCAAATAAAATTTAACGCCCTATTGAATTTTTAAGGTTGCACAAGGTTATCTTAAGAAATTCCTGTAAGTGATGTCAACGTTGAGAGTTCGACCGAGACAGAGTTTTGAAGGAAAAGAACAATGGTTAACTAATCACTGCTGAAGTTTTGGCTTTCTTATATATAAAAAAATAATGTCGTACTAATTCCAATCGATGGTTTGATAAACTTTTTTCTGACATGACGAACTGGTGACGTATATAACGGCGTATTTTTCAAAGAATACACATAATTTTTATCACTATGTCTACATTAGATATTACGTGCTATTAAAATGTTTCTTGGTCCGCAGGTCCGCAGTGCGTTGGTGTGTTTCAAATCAAAGTAGGAAAGGTACGAAAGCGAATACAGGATCAAAAATTCTGTTTTAGGCGAAAAACACGAGGATGGAAACTTTCTCGCAGCACTAATGCCGGCAGCACGTCCTTCTATGGGAACTCGTCTTTCTAGAGCAAAGAAAACTGCAATTGGGCAAAAGAGTCTCCTAACGGCATTACTCACGCGGATATCGACCACGTTCTGACAAACAGATGATGTTGGCTACTTGACACATCAGTAGTCCCGTCATTTTATATCGGCGCCGATGACTGCCTTCTCCACGCGAAGGTTCAATTCGGCCGTAAGCTAGAAAAGAATTCACGTCATCGACCACGAGGAAAAAGTCTAGTCGCATACGGTGAGGACATTCTGAACCAAGCACTATCAAAACGTAACTGGCAGATTAACGAGATTAACCCGACCGAACACTACGAGCTGCTAGTCGAAGGACTAAAAAAATTGTAATATTTCGAAACCGACTTTGCTTTAACCTCGGCATGACTAATCAATATGTATTGTTTCTTGATGAGCTTACGCGAGGTTGATAAATATATTTATTTTCGGCTAACGTTTCGACGTCTTCGTCTTCATCAGAGCCAATGTTCCCAGTCGATGTCCACGCTCGTTGTTCGTCTCGATATGGCGGCTTCGCTTTCGTGTCGAGTCTTCCTTCAGTCTTTCTCAGCGGGCCATTTCCTCGAATGAGGCAGACTCACTTGATGATGCCCTTTTATACACGATGCTGATGGTCAGTCGGTGTTATTATCAGCTGGTACAAAGCTACAGCTACATATAAAAAAATTGTGCCGAATTCCCCTCAGTTCCTCAAGCAAAAAGATCGGATCGCATCTGCACTGCAACTAAGTGGAAGGAGTAGCTCGAAGTGAGAAGGAAATTGATGCTTGATCCTACCCTGCAAGCAGATAGCCATCCAGTTCAATTTTCTCGAATTCCCACCATGAGTTTAGGTTTCATAGAAATTTTCAATCAATGCGTATGCCTTTTTCATCCCAATCGAGTGACTTCATTATCAACTTCAGTGCGGCACTAAACAGCCCTGGCGAGAGCACGTCGTCTTGACCAGCCCATTTTCCTATGCGTATGGTAAGGGGTCGATGGAAAAACTGTGTCTTCGTAATGCCGTTCGAATAACAGTCAGATACAGTTCCTATGTAGTACGGTTCTACTCCTTGGTCGACAAGCACCGATAGGAATGAGTTCGTTTCGACACTGTCAAAGCTTTTTTATAGGCGACAAAGGTTAAGACTAGAGGCAAGTGGTATTCCCGACAAACTTCGATGATCTTGCACACGGTTTGGATGTGGTCCATGCTGCAAAATCCTTTTCGAAATTCTGAAAAAAATATTACAATTTTTTTAGTCCTTCGACTAGCAGCTCGTAGTGTTCGGTCAGGTCTGCATTAATCTGCCAGTTACGTTTTGATAGTGCTTGGTTAAGAATGTTCTCACCGTATGCGACTAGAGTTTTTCCTCGTGGTCGAGGACGTGAATTCTTTTCTAGCTTACGGCTGAATTGAACCTTCGCGTGAAGAAGGCAGTCATCGGCGCCAATATAGAATGACGGGACTACTGATGTGACAAGTAGCCACCATCTTCTGTTTGTCAGAACGTGGTCGATATCCGCGTGAGTAATGCCGTTAGGAGACTCTTTTGCCCAATTGCAGTTTTCTTTGCTCTAGAAAGACGAGTTCCCATGGAAGACACGTGCTAACTTAAAGATGCTGAATGAGCCGAACGCATTCTTCGTCAATGTTATCGACAACGGTATCTTTCCAACAGCCGACTAATGAGTTGAATAAGTCGCAGTTTATGTCGTGTTTTGTCTGTTTTAGGACATCGTCTGTTGAATTTGGCGGCTTTTTTTCTTTTCTGCGAGAAATGGAATCTTGCACGAAGGAGGAGATGGTCGAATCCCGTGTAAACTTTTGAGACAACAGCGAGATCGGTTAGGTAAAACCTTCATTTTATTATGATGTGGTCTATTTCGGTATGGCCCTTTCCGCTAGAAGAATCCCACTTCCAGTGTTGGGGTTGGGCCTTCTGGAATTGCAAGTTACTTTCGGTGCTCTTGGTCGTAGTGATAAACACAGAACCCGCTCACCCTGTTCGTTCCATTCTAATCCTTGGGTCCCAGTGTGACGTTCTTCGGACGCTTTTCTTGGTCTAGTCTTTGCGTTGAAATCTCCAGTGATGACCTTGAAGAATGTATGGTCTTCGCTGTAGAACTCTTCCAAGTCCATATTGAACGCCTCAACTTCTTCTTCGTCGTCGCTCGACGTCGGCGCGTTAACAACGAAGATTGTCAAAGCTGGTATTGATCCACATCGTTTTGATCGTAAACATCCGATTCGGGTTGTTAGTTGTTCAAATGAATCGATGTTCACAGACAAACTCGTGTTGAGGAAAACGCCGACGCCACCCACCGACTCCTCCAATGACGCATTTTCCGAGGAACAGTTCTCCTCCGGTGTCATAGGCGGCGTTGAATGGGTGACGTCGTTTCGTCTCGGTCAAGCCGATGACGTGGGGCCTTATCCTTCTCCCTTACATGGTCAAGTCTTCTATAGGGGACTCAGATGCAAGTGTACGTACATTGTAGGCACAGATCTTCACCTTAGTTCTTCTCGATCCAGGCAGCTTCCATTGGCTCTGAGATTTTAGCAGCCTCTCCGTACTCGTCCTACCCAGCGCTGAGAAATTGGTGCTTTTTCTAGGTCAGGAGAATGAGGCCCGTTTTTTTTTCTGTGTTTGGCATTTTGATGCCCACGTATAGCTATAGCTTTCTGGGCTCTGAATGTGAACGCTGGGTATACTCACGGGTAGCTCATCAGGCTCTCCCAGAGTGGACATGGAGCTTATTTGTTATAGGAGACTCCTAACCGCCTCCCATATACTTCTCTGTCACTTGATTGCAGGCTTTCGCCGAATTGACTCGTAGCGTACAATCCGCATAAATTTGAACGCACCCACACACGTATGCATGAATACGCTTCGTAAATACGGAAAATATGTGCCAAATCTGCGCAGAGGAACAACCAATCCATTCCTAGGATCCACCTGCGTCTCAGGGAAACATACGGTCGCTTTTGGTTAGCGGTCAAACCCCTTTTCTCCGCACGATGACGCGTCACGTATCCTCGCCACTAACCGGCTCTTATATGAGGCACCTTTGTGGCTGCTAGGAAATACACTGTTAGTATATTCTGGGAAATCATGGGTAAGCATCTATTAGCGTCTCTGGACCACAGATTAAATGCAGCAGCATTGATGGAAGGCCGTTGAAATTTTGGCAAAAAAAAGCATTACCCATTAAGCACTACTTATGAAGCTGTTGAAGAACTATTATTCGGAACATATTGTGGCATAAGAGTCGACGGCGTTGTTTCCTCGTGAGTCCATCATCAATTTTCTTAAAAAATTACCAATCTTAGTCGGATATTTACGGTTGGAAAGATGTAAGCTGTTAAAGTTATGAATGGGACCAGATCATTGCATCGCTTGTGCAAGATTTTTTTCACAGAACCTAAAGCCGTCAAGAAACGCAAATGTCGTGTCATTCTCTACTTTTTTTTTCTCTTCTTTAAAAAACTTCTTCGTTCTCAACTATCAAGTGATCACGGAAACTTCGTTCTA